GAGTCCCTTTGTTCACAGAACTTACCTTCAGCCAATCTTCATCAATTTGTTATAATGGGGCCATCTCTTTTTATTTGTCTGGCATCAGTTTGGATTGCCTATGCTTTGCAGGATTGCTAAATATATTCACTATCAGTGTTACTGATCAGTATAAAAATGGAATATTATTTAATATAGCTGAAAAACATAATAAAACTTTTAAATAAAATAGCAGGAAAAAAAATCAACCTTTGCTTTGTAAATCCGGGGACCTTCCTTCAGTTAGTGAGAATGTATGTAATTTATTGACTAGCAACTGGAGAAAAGTTTCTGCAGATAAAAAGACTGGGTTCATTGGCCAACCTAGATTTCCGGATTAGCTGTGACACTGGAGGACTCCAACTTCTGATTTCTGTTTCACTGTGGATAATTACGTGTGTTCTGAACTTGAAGTAATAAGTTCAGGCCAACTGCACCCACTGTCTTCAAAGAAATTCACGGCAACACACTTTCTAGGACTGATCAACTCTATCCTGCAGGAAGAAGTCCAAAACTGTTTTAACAACTACTCTCCTGGTGAGGTTCTTTCTAAATAATATGTAAGAGCTTGTTGAATCACTGGGTAAATCGTTTGTTCTCAGATAAGGTCATGATAGATACAAATAGGTACTTTAGGTCCTAAGAGCAACTGTTACTCAAATTAGGTCACATTAATATATTAATAAAAAATACTTATATGAAAATTATTTAATATACTTATTATGAGAATCAATGAATTTAAACATAATCAGATAAGTTTCAAGAAATGTCACCTTAGAGAATGCTTGGTGGTTCAATTTTCTGTGATGAATTTTTGAATAGACGATGCCTGGGTAGTAATGCAATGAAAACAATAAAAGAAAAATTCCACAATGCTAAATAAAGAAAACATTCTGTAACATTGTAATAGAAAAAACAGGATGAAAAAGGGTGCCAGTATTATAGTGAAAATAATTTAGTGTCAATTACAAGTATTTATCTTCCATTGCCTTACTTGAATGAGTTGTATTTTCATTACTATAATCATTTAATCTATGAGAAGGAAGAAGCATGTTTTTATTTTCCTCCAAAAGTAAACAACCTTTTTCGCCATCTGGTGGCTAAAGACCGCATTTTCTGTGTAGATGAAAATAGCTGAACTGAGATTTAACAGCTAATTATGTTTAATGCTTTCAGCTTCATCTTACTGTAAAGATATGCATATTTCCTTAACCAATGTAAATACTACTGAGGCAATTTTGTTTTAATAGTTCAGAGCATTTTATTCATATCAATCTATCTGTAATATTTAATTCAAGAGAAGGAAAACTAACCAGCAATTATTTTAAAAAAGAATTTTGAGAGGTAATTCATTTTGAAAGTTAAATATGGTAGTAACAATTTGACTTACCTGTCTTTTGGTATAAAGAATTAACACTATTTGTATGAAAACAAGAAGATTCAAATATATTTTTAAATAAAAATAATAGATATGATTAATTTCAAAGAGGAAACCTTTGTAGTAATAGTTACAACTGTATGTTGAAAATTCACCATACCAATAAGGGTAAAAAATTTAAGAGTATATGGTTTGTTCTCCTTATAAAATTTTTGTTAAGTAAAATTTTCAATGTATTTATTAGTACATTTATGTGTATGTATATTAACCATCTCATTTCATTAAAAATTAAAAATTCATATTAAAAATTAGAAATGACAATAATTTAAGGTTGAATTTCTTTATTTTCTCCCAGAATATTTTAATATTGAAACCCAAATCATTACTTTAGAGAAAGGGAAAAACAGAAACATGAAAAGACAAACATTTCATTTAACTTATGGTATCGTGAGCAGTCACTTTTAGGCAACACTTTTTTTTTCCTTTGTAGAAAAGAAATAAAAAACAAACAGCACCATTAAAGAATGCATGATCCCTGAATTCTAAACAAAACACTGCCTAAAAATTGTTTCAATGCTTGTTGCACTCCGTCACATTTAGTCAGGTATCAAAGCAAGCGTAACAGTATTAAACTGTAGCAGTCTTACTGATTCAACTGCTCCCCCTTCCGAGGATTTTACACACCTTTTCTGAGTTTTTCCTGTGGGAATAACATATTCTTTGGTAGAGGGCTGAAGGAGGGTTGGACTTTGCTGTATGCTGATATAAAATGTCTGTGTACGTTCCGGGCCTTTGCCCCCCAATCTACTTGTCATGCGTGTTATGTTTGGGTTGATTCACATTTTGCTGTTACACTGTAAGAGTAATACCGCCTTTTAAAAAAGGCATTAAATGGCTAATGTCAAACAGATGTAAACATTCAGAATACTGACCAAAGGGAAAAAAAATACACACAAACACACGTTAAAAAAGTGTACTGAAAATATGAGTCAGATTAGGTTTCCATGAAGCCAGGGGGAAAAATACAGCAGTACAAGAAAAATTATGGCAACCAAGTAAAGCACTTTCTTTGAAACATTCATGAACAGTACAAATACAACAAAGTTTTTTCTACAGTCTAAATTATTCTGCAACTATCAAAGAGAGTACAAAGCGAAATAGTATGTGCTATAAAAAAAGCAGCTCCTTTAAATTATAGTAAAAATGCTTTTTGTTCGCTTTACAGTGACAAAGCATGAGGACTGAAGACAAGATTTCTTTTCTATTCAGTGACATTTTGGCTACATCGGGCCCTGACAGCCTGGTGAGTTCCTTTTCTAGGACTCTTCACATTGCTCTCTAGAAACGCGGACAGTGACTGGGCCCTGCGCATTTGGTGGGCTCTCTCCCTCCAGGCCGCCCCAGCGCTGGCCTCCACACTACAGAGCGGATGCGACCCTTAGCTTGGCTTCAGCTTCTGTTACCTGGGATTTGACCAGACCCAGGAGAACTGGGAAGCCAAGGCCACAGTAATTTCCCCTTTAGAAGTTGTGCGAGTGTTTGTAAAGGCCATGGGGCTGGAGCCTCTTGGATTCTTACTCTCGGCTGCCTTGTGAAGCACCATACGCACCAGCTTGTGTCTGTTTATTTTGAACGAGTGAGACTCTCCAATCTGTAGAAGTCAACTAAACCTTCCACAGCTCATCCCAGAAACACACAGCTATAAACACAAAGTCTTTATAGCAACCAGGCTCAACCTCATAGGTTTGTTTTCAAGTTTTTTCCTTCAAACTAGACCTTAGCAGGGAAATAGTCTATGTAACTATGGTGCTTAGGTCGCCAACATTTCTGCTATTCTCACTTTGGGGAAGGAAAAATATTTTCATTCTGAAAATGACTTTTGCATGAGAACGTTCATATTAGCATGCCCATTAACTACCTAAATGTCTTTATACAACTTCAGGCAGATGTATATCATATAGGAGAGGGATCAGGGAATAGCAGTTTTCTTCCGTCCCTGGTTTCAAAAGTGCTACTTAGGGAAACACAACCTTTGTGAAAATAATAAAAAAAAAATCCATGATAGAAGTGCAAGCTCCGTTCCTGATATGAGTATCACAGTGTCCAATCACCAGGAGAACACACACTAAAATTTGCACATTATACCATGGTAAACATGTAGTAAATAATATACTCCATTTGCACATAGACAGATATCAGTGGAAATCAGGACACTAAGAACTTGCTCACCTAATCCAAATATACTGGCTTTTGTATATATATTAAATGGCCACTCATAACATATCTGACCTATGTTTTTACCTGTGAATTTTTCTTTCCATCTTTCGAGCACAAAGCTTTAATTCTTCAGTAATATAATCCATATGTGAACACTGGGAATTTAAGCAAGGGCAAAAAAAGAGCAAGGGCAGAGAAATATTATGCTCTTTGGAACAGGGTGATAGAATCCACATGTGATTAGCAACTGATTCTCCAAACTTACCATGTGAGAAATCAGAAAAGAGAGAAGGACACTTTTCTTTATTCCCAATGAGTAACTTGCGGGCAATGTTCCACAATGATGGAACTGATAATGAGCTCAGTATCATATCAGCCTCAATTGTATCTCATATGCAGAGTGCAAAGGTTTTGTAGACCGGAGTTTCAACAAGGTGTCAGTTACTAGGGTAATGTTGAATCTGCTGGTGTGGACAGTATCTGACACTGGTAGAGGAGGAACTAAGTTTGGAAGGAGGAGGTGGCATGCAAGTGTCTATGTTTTCGGGGTGCCCCTCTGTGAGCATGCCCTTCCGAACCAACATCAGAGCCAAGCAGACCATAGAGACCCACTGATGAGGATACCACTCAAACCACCTGGTGCACAGTGAACAAAGGATCCACTGGAACTAATGCTGCCTTTCTTGGGAAGGGCTAGTTAAGTGCATTGCTAATATTCTCAGCCATTAATTCTGCTAATTTTAATGTGAAAAACAAAAGTGACAGCAACTGAAGCACTGAATCTCGGCCACAAAAGTAGGCCTTATTTGCTTTGATTTCTTCCTAAGTATCTTTCACTATCAGCAATTTGTTAGTAAAAATGACATCTCTATCACTTAATAAAATTTGGCAATATCACAGTAATAAATACGGAGGGAAAAATATGCCATGGTTGACTACTATAAAAAAAATTGCAAGTTTTTTTTTTATCCCCAGGAATGTAATTTCCACTCATTTCAGTTGATTTTTAAGACGTAATTTAAGGGAATGTCAAAAGTTAATATTGATAAGGATGATCCCTTGTGAAAACAACTTGTCATTCTTACCCTGAATACAGAAGATTCCACCCACACCCAGATTTTCTACAGTCACAATCAACCAGTGGGTTAAAGGTACTCCCCATTTTGTGCTCTGTAATATGAAGTTAAAATGGACATGGTTTTTGTTCTTTCATCTTCCCATAATGTGCATGTGCTTTCGAACTTGCTTTAGGGAACAGAGCCTGCTGAAACTACAGCTGTCCTCTGGCATGAGGGTGGCCGAAGTACATGGAATGCAACTCAAATACTCAACACTCAGGCTCTCAGCTAAACACTGAGAACAGTTGTAAGATGCAGTATCCCTTTTTCAAAAGTAGTTCCACTCCCCCAAATGTGAAGAATGCACTGAATTCACCTGAGGGTGGGGGGAAACCAAATCATGGAACATCCAGAACAATTCTAAAGGACTAGTTCAGAGTCAAATGCAATTACAGAGATCGTGACTTATGAGGAAAAAACTTATTTGGAAAAATGTCAACACTTCAGCGTTCTAGAGTCCCTTTGGTCATCAATGACACTTTAAAAAAGAAATGGCCAACCTCTGCAGAGTCAGAAGTCAGAATGCAATGGTGTCATCAATAAAGGGTATGATTATTTCTCCCCAATCTCAATATCCAGTAACTGTATTAGAGTGAATAGAATGGACCAATACTTACATCATCAACCCATTTAGGTGTGTTTGCATACACAGCATTTTACTTGTTTGCTCTTAATTTTAGGGTATCTTTTTTCATACTTGCTCTTAGAAGCCATGCACAAACCTCTGAAATCCTCTGGGCCTATGGCTCTTTGTAGTCCAACTGATCTTAGTCTCAGGTGTCAAGAGGCTTGAACCAGACTGCTGGGCAAGAGGCCCACACTGCAATTTCAGGTAGAAAAGACATTTCACTACAATGTGTGTACCATGTCCAAGGCAGATCCAGGTAATCTGCCCATCTCCGAAAAGAGTCAAAAGGGAAGAAAGAGAATAAGGACAGTGGAGTTCATTAATGGTTTACCTCCTTTAATATCTCTTGTGATATGGGTAAATACAAGGAATCATACACTTAAATCAGATTCCCTTTGCCAAACAGAATGTCATCACTTATGGTGAAGGCAGATCCAAAGGAGCCAACTGTGGGACCCTCACTGGAATGGTTTACCTGTAGAAGAATGCATCACCACCTCAAAATTGCGATTACCCATCTCTTTCTACATCTTCATTTCTGGTTACCATGAAGTAATTACATTGTCCTTTTCCTTGCTACACCTGGATTTTTTTTTTTTAAAGCAACAAATTGGGAGGGAGTGACCTGTATACACACACATACATGTAGAAATTTTCCAGGAGTTGCAAATGGCAACGGAATATGCAAAAGACATGCCGCTGAGCCCCTTGACTGAGATGCCATCTCGCCTCTCCCAGCAACGCCAGAAAACAATATGAGATAGAGAAAACAGCCTCTGTTCCAAACTAAAATAAATTAGCACGGGATAGACCCCGGAGTGACTCAATGTGTTGTTGATGATGCCGTTTGGCTTTTCCGTAGTGGAAAAGGGATACTGCACCTTTCACTCGGCTTTTATCGCACAACCAGGCAAGCGACACAGAGTTTAGAAGGCCCTATGCAGTCGTCATGGCAAAAGGCCCCGCAGCCTTTGCACACAATCATGGCTTTCAGCCGGCAAGAGCATTTCAGTTCCAATTCGTCTGCGTTGCTGCTGTCGGCAAAGTTCTGAACAGGCATTTGGGCGTTCTGAGCAGGCAGGCCCGTGGTGGGACTGGAGCCACTTCCCAAAACCCCAATAGACTTTTCAATGGCAGACGTGGCCCTTCTGAAGCTTGTGCTCCCGAAGTGGATGGTTGGATAGTTTCCACAGAGCTGCTGCTGTTGCTGCGCCTGCATTTTCTGAGCAGCTAATTGGGTGAAAGGCTTTTGCGGCTCGGAAAGCAAATAGGAAGAGAAATCAGCATTTTTCAACGCAAAGGCCTTCAACTGTTCTTTCATCTCACTCTGGTCGTAGGAAACTTGTTTCATGCCCAGTTCACAGCTGCTGCTCAAACCTTCCTCAAAAGAAAGAGGTTCCGATTTTATATTGCTACATATGCCCGTGGACTGTGGCCAACTGAGTCGCTTAGTGGTTTCCATGGTAACCGGCGGTTGTTTTTGCTCGGATGGGACTTCCGGGTTAGGATGCGGTGGAGGTAGTGGAGGCGGCAGTGGGGGGGGCGAGGGAGATGCACCAGGGCCTTGTGCGGCATTCCGTGTGGGGTCCCCCCGACGTCATCACCTTCTTTAATGGGCACGTTGGGGGGTGCCATGTTGGCTAACCTCAGCTGGTGAGGCGCCGGGGAAAGGCCAACCTCCCCCAGTCCCTTCTGTTCAAGGTGCCTGTTGAAGGCGAACGCGTTACAGCCTGCTGGGGTCTTGGCAGAGGCCGGTAACAGGGCTGCAGGAGGAAGGGGGCCCCTGGGTGTCAGAGGCATTTGGTAAAACTGCTGTCTGTGCGAGGTCCCGGGGTCGGGATGGAAGCCCCCATTCTTGTCGACGTGAAACAGGGTCTGCTGGAAGCTACACGAGGGGAGCAGTCGCTTCTGCTGTTTGACCTCAGGGCTGTGAGCAATCCTGCTCTGCGCGGGGTGCTTGTTCAGCCACTCCTGCTTCAGAGGCTGGCTGTGTGCCAGCGGACTCAGGCCGGAGCCGAGGACACAGGGCACCCCTTTCACGTCGGGGTCCGCCAGCAGTTTCCCCGGCTCGCACTTGACTTGCGTGTGCTCCCCTACGGTCCTGGCCACCCTCTTCTTGGGGTGGTTCTCTCGCTTCCTCATTTGGAGCGGTGCCAGGGCTCCGGCCAGGTAGCCCTTCCCATCTGGGTTGGGCGAGCTGAGGGGCATTTCAACCACGTTCCTCTCTGGGGCTGCTTTACCCGCTGAGGTAGTCGGAAGAGGCAGGGGGAGCCTGTTGATCTCCAGCTTGGCTCCCAGTCTGGGTTGCGGCAACACTTTCTCCAGAGGCAGGTTGCCCTGGAGTAACTGGGTGACGAGGGGGTTATTGGCCTCCACCGAGGACAGACGGCAGCTGGAGCTCCCAGCGCTGGGCACCCGCTTCAGGTTGTCTGTGGCCAAAGAGACGGCCTCCTCCAAGGCCCCGGAGGCGGGGGCCTTCACGGCCTGAGGCGGCTGCGCACTCGGGGCTGCCTCGGCGGTGGGAGCAGGCAGCTCGGCGCCGGGGAAGTCTTCGGTGTCCATCCTGAAGCCCTTGTCCACATCATGAGGTTCGGACTTCACGGGGAGTGTGACGCTTGTGATGAGATTCCGAGGCTGAAGTTCCGCCACGTGCGAGTAGCTGGCGTGCTCGGTCTTGATGGACTTGGGACAGTTCTGCTCCAGATAGTCCTTCTGTTTGCTGGAAGCCGGGTGGTTGGGCTGAGGCTGGCCCGTGCTCCGCATCCCGTCCTCGCTCCAGCAGATCCGGCTGCCAGAGTTGTACGGATGGCTACAGGTGGTATCAGCTTCACTCTTGAACGCGGCTGAACCACGCGCCTGCTCGGCAAAGCTGTGACTCGGGGGAGCCCCCTCTTTTAATTTATCGGGAACAACCAGGAGTCCTTCGCGAAGACCCGGACAAGTGGCCTTCATTGTCTGACTGTCTTGCTCGGCCGCGGAAGCCGCGATGAAACTGGAACCGTGATCTCCGCCTTCAGGGGCCACCGGCTCAGGCCTGCTGATGACAGACACCTGCGGGCAGGCCACGGGTGGCCCAGCTGCCTCCGTCCTCCCGGACCGGGTCTGGAGCTCCAAGCCGGCTTCCGCACTCTCCAGGGAAACGGTCAGAGACAGTGTGGAGGTCAGCGTGGTGCTGTGGTCCACGATGACCTTACACGGGATGGATCGATTTATGGCTGCAGGTGTGAAGCCGCCTGGGGTTGGCTGAGGTTTTCCAGAAGGGTCTCCCCTGTTCCGAGTCCCTAAAGTTTTGTCAAGGCTTTCGGTGCTTAACTTGGGAGGGCTATCATAAGAGCTAATGGTCAGCATGCTTCCAGAAAACACTGCCACGGGTGGGCGTGCCACTAGGGCGTCGGTGACCGCAATGGGGTCCCTACAGCCGAGGGCGGCTCTCACAGTGGTGCCCATGGGCATGGTGGCCGGTTCTTCGCTCCCAGGCATGGCTATCTTCTCAGAAGGGTATCTGTTGTTCATTCCCGTTGGGGGCATCAAGACAGAGCTAGTGGAGAGATGGTTGGGCAAGTTGCTTCCAATCGAGGGAGCTGGCACGGAGGTGTACTGAGCAGAGACGAGGCTGCCAGCACTGCTGCTGGGTACCAGTGCCAGCTGGTCATTGTGGGGGCTGGCTGAGCCTGTGCCTTCCGAGGGGGCAGGGAGAGATGTGCTCTCCATACATTTTGGTATAATGGCTATGCATGGGGTGTCCGTTCCCTGGATGGTTTTTAACATGCTTATGTTACAAGCAGAAATTGTAGCGTTTGCACTGTCAACAGACATTAGGACAGAGGATTTATCAACAGGACTCACAAAGGGATGCTCTTTAATTGCTCCCGACAGAGCGGTGCTGCAGACAGACGCGGGGACGGGATTTTTATTAAAAAGCATGGGCACACTGCTATTTTCAGAAGAGGTAGATGAAACTATTTTCTCAGATAAGTGTGACACGGGTGTGTTTTCGTCAGAACTATGCACAGATAAGTCCGTGGCGGTTTCTGGAAGTTTCGCCGGGGTGAGAGGCTGCTGGAGAACCGTGGCGGTGTCCCGGAGGTGTGCGGCCTTGTTGCTGGGAGATCGGCAGTTCGGGTTAACAATGATGACGCCAGGTGAGCCTTCAATTTTTGTTTCAGGGGCAGGAGAAATGACGTCTAAGCTTGGAGGCCCTTCCTTTGGGCCGAGCGGGGGAGGCCCCCGGGGTTCTTTTGGATTCTGGAAGAGGTGGGCTCGCGCTTGATGCTTAGCAAAGAGCTTGGCCTTCGTCTGCTCTTTGATGTGCGCCAGGGTCCTGGCCTTCCCGCCCTCTCCGGGGCTCCCCATGGCTCCTGAGACGATGCTGGCTGCGGCTGCCACAGCCGCCGCCGCCGCCGCCTCGCGCTGGGCCCTGGCTTGCTGGGCTCGGGCCTTGATGTCTGCCAGGGTCCGGGCTCCCGTGTTCCTCCCGCTACTGACCGAGGTGCTGGAAGACGCACGAGCCTCTGGTTTGGAGACGGGTTGGCTCTTGATGATAAAGGGTGGCCCGATTTTGGATAGCTGGATCTACAGGAAGGGGTAGGAGACGGAAATAAAAAGATAAAGTAAGCGTAAGGAGCACCAAAGAGGCGCATGTGCACATGATCCCAGAGGACCATGGGAACGCAAGGGCAGGGAATAACCGCATCTTTTAAGGGGCCAACACCTAAATCCAGGAATGCGCTTTTGGGGGTTAAAAAAAAAAAAAAAAAAGCAATAAACGCAGCATGAATGTGAAAATTAAAAATTTTAACCTCTGTTTTAATCTACAAAACATCAAACAGTGACTTCATTTGACATGGAAATCAAACATATTAAAGCATCATATGAATGGAAAGGAAGCCCAGGCATCTTCAAATGAGGTGAACTAAAAAATAGTTAAGCTTTCCACTTATCTTCCTGGCTGGCATGAAAAAGTGGGACCGTGACTCTGAATTTACTGGTCTTAATTTGACATAAAGGAGAAAGCCCCAAGGACGGCTCAAGACTAGAATTCTCAGCTGTGATCCCAGGCTGTGTACTTCAGTTTTTCCAACAACCTCCCAAGTCAAAGACTGTAGGTTTTATGTGGTCCCTTACCGGCTAGCACGCTGCCTTATACGTGCAATAAGCACACAATAGGAGTTTGTAAATTCAGCCGTAAAACGGGTCTGGCTGTTTCCGGTCTATTTCCTTCACAGAGCTCTTACAAAGAGGGGGTGAGGCTGTTTTTGTGAGTGCTATGCCCTCCAAAGGGATTTTGTCATTAGCAGTATGTTTCATTGAAAGCAAGGGCAACTCTAGTTTTCTGCCTCCAAAATAACATGGGTTGGGCAGTTTGTTTTGGAAATCCACAGTGTGCTGAATGTCATACATGTCCCAACACACACTGTTCACTTACTCACGCTAACTGAGACACATATATGTGTGTGCTCAATCACTAAGTCACGTTGGACTCTGCAACCCCATGGAATGTAGCCTGCCAGGATTCTCTCTGTCCATGGGATTTTCTAGGCAAGAATACTGGAGTGGGCTGCCATTTCCTCCTCCAAGGGATCTTCCCAATCCAGGGATCAAACTTGTGTTTCCTGCTTGGCATGCCTATTCTTTACCACTGAGCCACCAAGGAAGCCCAAGAGATGCACAGTTATCACCAAATTCATGCAGCCTAAGACCTAACAACCAATATCCCAAAGCAATGGCCTGTGATGTGCGAGCCACTGAGAATATTCAGAGTCACAGATTGGTGGAGCTGGAAGTGATCGAGTTAAAGCCCTTAATGTACGGATGCACACACTGAGCCTCTGGAGATAGGCTGCCCTGGGTTCACTGAACCAGAGCGTGATGGAGACTTTCAGCTCCCTGTTCTCTCCTGTTGTGTACTATGCTTTTAGTCTGTCCTCTAGAAAAAAGATTTTTCCTAGAAAACTTACATCTCTCTTAACATTTGTGCACTTACATATGTTGACATTATAAACACGTGACACATACTACAAGATCACTTCAACTTGGAATTAGCCTTTAGAACTCTGGAAGGTGGAATTATCTTCCTGAGCTCTCATTTCACATTTTCAAACATGTGTTGGTTCTCTTCTAATCCAAAGGCTCCAAAGAAAGATAAATTTAGAAAAGGATTTCAGCTTTTCCTTTTAAGTACTTCCCTTCATTTAAAAAATTAGAAACATCAAGCCTAACAAACAACAAATTTATTTTATCTAACTAATCCACATATGTTTACATAAAGGTATATATATCACTTTGAAAAACAGCTTTTGACAAAAAACAGGATACTTCAATGTATTATATACTTGTATATATGTATATACTTAAATATATTATACTTACAAGTATTTTCCAAGTATTATATTTGTCTTTCCATTGCTTCATAAATTAAAATGCATAGTAGGATTTTAATGGGAGCTTAATGTTCATCTTTTGTATCTCTAGAATCTTATTTAATAGGGAATGATTCGTTACACAGAATAACTACAATCACACCCTTAAAAGTTAACCTTAGGGAGATTAAGAGTCCCTATTACAAGTAGATGTCAGAGCAGAATAAAATAAAAAGACATGAAGAAAAACAAAGGCTGAGTTTGTTTATAATTCTTTGAATCAATCTTAATTTTCAGTTCACTTAAGCAGATTCAATTATATAAAAGGTTTGCTTCTGAGAGCTGAAATCTACCTGAGAATCAAAATAAAAAGTGCAATTAGGAATGTTCGTCTATAGGCTTTATTATTTTGTGAAGTCAAATACTTCTTAACTATCTTGGAAATAAAATAATAGCATTTGTATACATGTATATTTATGGCATTTTCCTTTGGGTTTGCAAAGCAATTTCATTTATTTATTCAAGAAATATTTAATGAGTGTCTTTCAGAAGCCAGGCCCTCTGTGCTGGGCACCCTACAATCACTGTAGGGTGTTCAGTGTTTGTTGGCAAATAAATGAAGGGATAATACATACCTTCATTTCTTGAGTGCATGCCTCTGACTTGATCACTACTGTCTCTAGTTCTGCTAACTTTTATAGAATGCTGAATTAACCTTCAAATTTATGCAGATCTCTGTCCTCCATCTTGGAGTCCCCCAAAGGCCGTGTATCTGAGTGGCCTGTGGGCTCCTCCAGGGCCAGTTCTCCCTCTTCATTTTTTTTTGCCCTTAAATACCCAGGTCTAATTATATACATGTATCTAAACTTACTGTATGAACTCAATGCAGCCTGAAAAAGAATCACTTAGTATCAGACTGGTGCTGGGAGTATTGGATTATAAACTGTGACATTTATTTTTGAAAAATGAAGTATCTGAATAGGAAAAGCCTATCTATGGAATTTTTCCTTTTAAAAAAAAAAAAAGAGTACTATACCTTGAGAGGTGGGACCCTTGGCTCCTCTCTTGGGGGCGGCTCTTTCTCAGGTGGGCTGCTGGACGAGATGTTCCGTCCAGCAGATGACTGGTCATCGTCTATCCTAGCCCTCTTCTCCTTACAAATCCCGAAGCCGTGATGCTCTGCAGTTTTCCTCTTTGATATTTCAGATTCTCTGCTCTCATTTCTTACCCCATCTGGGGACTTGGAGGGTTCTGACAACTTGGAAGAATGTGAGTTCTCTAGCCGATTCTGTGAGTTCCCCGGCTTATGCATTTTATTTCTAGAGCCTTCTGAAAATGAAGCCTTATCTACCGAGGAGATGTACTGTTTGTCCTGCAGTTTAGCTGATGGGACCTCATTTCCCTTACTCTCTGTCTCTTCAGAAAAGACGGGTAAGTCCAATGGTGAAGACATCCCTTTCTTTTCTGCTCTTTGCAGGACATTATGATTTTTCACTTTTATCATTTCTGTAGAAGGAAGTTCTGGAATCGAAGTGGGATAGGATTTCTCAGTTTCAACGTGTGATTTACCCGGCTGCTGATTCAAGGTGTTACTGTGCAATTCTTCTGATGAATACGCTTCAGGAGCAACTGAAGAAGAAGCCATTTTGATGGGTTCAGGAGCATTTGACAGAATCTTCTGTTGAGAGGTAACACCTTCTCCCAAGGGCTTGGCAGGGGCAGAGCCTTCATCTTTCTGTGGGGAGGGTGGTTCTTCAGATACAGAAGTGGACTTTCTTTGTTGCTGCACCATTCTTTCATTCATGGAAGAACTGGAAACTGGAGATGTTTCTGAAGGAAGTGGCAAACTGGATATAAAAGTGGTCTCGGGTGTGAGAAGCATGGAAGACACTGAAGAAGTTTCTGATGTCAAAGGTAAATCAGACATGGGCGAAGTTTCTGATGTTAAAGGTAAATTTGACACTGGGGATGCTTCTGATGTCAAAGGCAAATTGGACATCAAAGATGCTTCTGATGTCTCAGGTGAGGTGGATATTGGAGAGATTTCTGACAGCAAAGATGCATGAAGATTTTCATCAGTGGAATTTCTCTGATTATATCTGTCCACATTTTCAGTGCTGGACACCTCAGAACAAAACGTTGTCTCAAGGGAGGTTGGGGTACACGACTCCTCTGAAGTGGACTGGTTTTCCCCTCCTGGGGATGTCAGACTGGTACAGGCTCCCTCTGGGCTCTCAGAAGAGAAGGATGTTTCAGAGATGCAGGCATTTTCAGAAAGCTGCTCATCAGGCTCGCTCTGCAACTCCATATCCACGGCAATGCCCTCACTTGGAAATCGGCCTTCTAGGGACGCTGACCCTGTTTTAATTTTTGGAGTGTTGGTCTCTAGTGCAGTTTCTGGCTCTTTATGTTCTGTGTCACTAACATGACTCACAGATAAAGTGGAAGGAATGAGGGAGTCACAGACTTCCAGCTGATCAATGACAACAGACATCTCTTCCTGGGGAGACTCTGATTTCTCTTCCACGTTAACTTCGATAGGAGGCAAAGTTTCCAAAACATCATTCATCATAACACAAGACTCCACGTGATCTTCAGGAGGTGCCATCTGTGGCTCTTCATGAGAGGTGACTGGACTTTCCAACTCCTCAGAAAATTCAGGTACTGTCTTGTGATTCTCATCCTGGCACTCACAGATGCTGGTCTCAACCTCTTCTGCAATTTCCTCCTGAATCACGGATTCTTCAGGGATCAAGATGTCCTCTGATTCCGACTCTGTCATTACATCTTTGCCTACATCTACCATAGGACAAAGCATAGCACAGAATTCAGGCTCTGGAGAAGTTGGGCTTTTCATGCTTTTTGGCTGTTGTTCTTTCAAAGGAGTCTGTGCAGAAAGACTGGGAAGGCCAGGGGTCCCACATGAAGAACTACTTTCAGCTCCATCAATGTTTGGTCCAGATGTGAGCTTTACAGAGTCCTCTCTTGACATGCCCAACCTGAACAGAAATTAGAAATACTAAATTATTGTTCAACCACAAAACATGAAAGGAACAACTTGGATCTCTCACCAAATATAGCATTCATAGAAGTAAATGCATCAAATTAATTTTATTATTACTAAGCAGCATGCTTAGCCTATGTAAACTAGTTTATGATGGCTTAGGTTTTCTACTCCTTTCATGTGCTCAATTGCTCAGCTGTGTCCAACTCTTTGTGACCCCATGGACTGCAGCCTGCCAGGCTCCTCAGTCCATGGTATTCTTCAGGCAAGAATACTGGAGTGGGTTGTCATTTCCCTCTCCACGGGATCTTCCTGACCCAGGGATTGAACCTGCATCTCCTGCACTGGCAGGCAATTCTTTACCATTAAGCCACGTGGGAAGACTGCTTTTATCATCATAACTAAAATAAACTCTGCATGCATGCTCACTCAGTCATGTCTGATTCTTTGAAACTCCATGGACTTCAGCCTGCCAGGCTCCTCTGTCTATGGGATTCTCCAGGTAAGAATACTGGAGTGGGTTGCCATTTCCTCCTCCAGGGGATCTTTCTGACCCAGGGATTGAATTAGTGTCTCCTATGGCTCCTGCTTTGGCAGGCATATTCTTTACCACTGAGTCACCTGGGAATCCCAAAAATAAACTTTTGGTTTTAAAAAAAGTATTGATTGTTATTCTATAAGCAAGGAAATATCAACTTTACCAAGTATTAGTAATAAGAAAATTACATAGTACAAAAGATTAAAAAAATATGGGCTGAAAGGCAAAAGAATATTAAAAATCCTAAACTTTTATACTCAGAAAGTATAAATATATCTTTACAGTAGAAAATCTCATAGTCCTCAAAAGATGCAACATAACCAAATAATTAAAATAAATGGAAGATGGGTATGTTGTAAAATTCTGTAACTGAAATGACTTCCAAAGATTAAGATGTAAAAGATGTCTATCACCTTATTTTAGTATCTAAATGTCCCTAAGATATGATGGAAATTTCATTAAAGAATAACAAATATGGCTGGGGTCATCAAAGTTGATTCTGCTCCATTACATCTCTGTGAGGCAAGACATTTCAGTTCTTTCATGTAGATCTCTTACAGTAAAAATATTCCATAAAAAGATAGTATAGAATATCAAGAAAGAGCCAAGCCTTATGTTCAGGTCATAAGACAAAGTTCATCAGAATTACAACTGATAATATTGTAAATCACTATTTCCTATCATACTAAGTTACAATGTTAGCATCAGATGGTAGGGAAATATGCTGTTCTAAATGAAGTTAAATTAGAGTGCAGGCAATTACAAGGATGAGCAGGAGAGAAAATATTCCCAGAGGAAGAAACATATTTGAGTGAGGAAATAGAGCTGTAACAAGAAAATACCTCAGTAAAATCTTCTTCAACCTTTTACTTAAATTAAATCCTCAAAATAAAAAGGAAGTAAGAAAGAATGTGCTTTTTGGGTATTTGATCATTGCCTTCTTCACTAAAATTCAGAAAGCTGAGAAAGATACAGGATATTTCCTTCATAATTAGTCTCTCTTCTTTCAGCTTTCCCTAAGATGGGTTCAAATTAAACCACAATTTATATTATACTAAGAAGGAAAGAATAATGTAACTACACAACAGATGAATTTAGAACAGAAAAATTAGCTAGATATAAGGTCTCCTGGGGCCAGATCAAGCAGAGATATCACTGATACTAGATTAGATAGAGAACATACAGAACCTACCCACCGGCATCCAAGTTTCAGCTAGATGATTCACAAGAATATTATTAAATATATACTATAATTTTGAGTTAGCATATTCATAGCATCTCCATAAGTAATTAAAACAAATTTAAGACAGTACTGTATTAAAAATCCTCAAGGAAATCAACCCTGAATATTCACTGAAAGGACTGAGGCGAAGCTGAAGTTCCAATACTTTGGCCACCTGATCCTGATGTGAAGAGCTAACTCATTCCATCAGAAAAGAACCTGATGCTAGGAAAAACTGAGGGCAAAAGAAGAAAGGGGTGGCAGAGGATGAGATGGTTGGATGGCATCATGACTCAATGGACACAAGTTTGAGCAAACTCCAGGAGATGCTGAAGGACCGGGAAGCCTGGCATGCTGCAGCCCATGAGGTCGCAGAGAGTTAGCGACTGAACAACAACCCTGGATTAAAGGCAGAGTAAACCAGTAAGAACCAAAATAAAGATCACAAAGAGCAGAAAACTAAATCAGACAGATCTTAACTAAAGGTGAGTGTCAATGGTAACATTCTTGGGAGAACTCAGAGCAACGAGAAGGCACATGGTGTCAGTCAACTGAAAATTATCTGATGCGAGGGAAGTGTCCCTCCTGTACTGAGGGAATATAGGCAATCTCAGAGTAAGGAAATTAGAAGGGCAGTCAATGAAATGCCCAAAATGCATCAGTCATCCAGTATGTAATCAAAGATCAGAAAAGATAAGCAAAAAGTCCAGGGAGGTAATGGAACAGAAACTCTATGGATAAACTACAGCAAGCAAAGTGTCAATTAAATAAAAGAACTTGAATTCAGAACTCAGTGATGCTGCTGGGGAGTCGTGTTTACTCACAGCATTGTAGCTATCCCCTTCCAGGGCAGGGGTCTTTAACCTGATATTCATGAGAGCCCACGGAGCCCCCACATCTCATGCCAAAAATTGTAGATGTGTGAAGTTTTCTGAGAAGGATTTGCAGGATTAAGACACTGAGCAAATTACTTAACCATACTGTGTACACCTGGGGAAATTAGTTTCACTGCCTCTCAGTTTCCTAAACCTTTTTTTTTTTTAAACTAAGAGTAATAATGGTATCCACCTTATAGGACAGTTGAGAAGATTAAGTGAAACAATATTTGCAAAGCTCTTAGAAACCTATTAGAGCCTGAGTATGCTTGGTGATTATGTGCTGACTGAGGAAAAGTCTCTGTATGGTCTTAGAACATGGGCTGTCTGACACAGTGTGTGTGTGGCACAAAGGCAAGGCTTGACGAAGACTGAGTTGATAAAAGAACAGGCCCAACACGCAACAAAAACTAAGGACAGGTTCTTTGGAGGTGACTAACTTGCTTATGCTTCTTCCATTACTGACAAGCGTGCTCCCAACAACACTCCCTTTGTCAGAAAAGACAAGGAAGGTAGGGTTCTTAATCTTGCTGGACATCAGCATGATGGAGAAGCATCTAAAAATACAGATTCCAGGGTTCAACTCCTGGAGATCCCCAATCAGTATGTCTGGGGTGGGTGTCCTAAATCTGCATCTGATCTGTTTTTTAATGTAATTAATTTATTTATGGTTGCACTGGGTCCTTGTTTTGTGTGCGGGCTCTCTCCAGTTTTGGCAAGCAGGGGCTACTCCTTGTTATGGGGCCCAGGCTTTTCATTGTGGTGGCTTCTCTTGTTGTGGAGCACAGGCTCCAGATGCACGGGCTGCCTCAGTTGTAGCACGTGGACTCAATAGTTCCAGCACAAGGGCTTACCTGCCCTGTGGCAGGTGGAATCTTCCCAGCCTAGGGATAACCAGTGTCCCCTGAGTTGGCAGGCAGATTCTTAACCACTGGACCACCAGAAAAGTCTTGTATCTAGTTTTAAAAGCTGCAATGAGGACTGTGATGCTGGCAGGCTTGAGTAATAGTGCTAGTAATGATACAAGTAGGCTGGTAACTAGCCTGCCACAATTTTAATTTTTGAGAAAGGAGCCTTTTAGTTTTGCTTAAATATGTCTATACATCCAAGGTCTCAGGGCAGCAACTGAAAAGGAGCCTTCCTCCTCTTGAGGATGGCTACTCAGGACAATTCACCAGGGATGAGGAGCACTCATGTGAGATTCCCTCTGACATTTGTCCTCATTTACAGGCAAGTTTTGTGAAATTAGATCAAATGGCGCAAGTTGTATTGCCTACAATCACCTTAGTGTCTTCTACACAAAACACCACTTTCAAGCATCAGTTGTGTTTGTGAGAATTAAAGCACAAATTCTTCTACCTAAGATGATCTAAAGTGAGTGAAAGTCGCTCAGTCATATCCGACTCTTTGTGACCCCATGGAATTCTCCAGGCCAGAGTACTGGAGTGGGTTGCCATTCTCTTCTCCAGAAGATCTTCCCAACCCAGGTCCCGCGTTGCAATCCCGCGTTGCAGGTGGATTCTTTACCAGCTGAGTCACTAGGGGAGCCCAAGATTATCTAAAGTTACTGTCAACTGTCAGCTCTTAAATCCCTCTTTTTTTCTTACAAATCTGATGGTCTGTGAGACTCAAATTCTGCTCAAGGAGAATGTGTCCCTGTTAACTTGGAGGCAAAGGAGAGAATGCTTTCAATTTAGTTCAGACACTACCATGCTTATATATGTCTGGTATTATCTTTTAAAACACACACACATAAAAATAATAAACTAAAAAGTGGTTATACCCTCCTCCAGTATTGATGAGAATGTAAATTGGTACAGCTACTATGGAAAACAGCATGAAGATTCCTCAAAAAAATAAAAATACCATTGTCATATAAGGCAATAATCCCACTCCTGGGCAAAGATCTGAACAAAACTATAATTCAGAAAGATACATGCACCCCCAATGTTCAGAGCAGAACTGTGGAAAATAGCCAAGATGTGAAAACAACCTTAGTGTCCACTGACAGATGAACAGATAAAGAAGATGTGGTACATAAACACAATGGAATACTACTCAGTCATAAAACCCAATGGAATAATATCATTTGCAGCAACATGGATGGACCTAGAGATTATCACCCTAAATGTTAAGTCAGACATTTACAATATGTTACCACTTGTATGTGGAATCTAAAATACGACACAGATGAACTTATCTACAAAAGAGACTCACAGACATAGATAACAGACTTGTGGTTGCCAGAGGGTAGGAGAGAGATGGATTGGGAGTTTGACATTAGCAGATGCAAAGTGTTATATACAGGATGGATAAACAACAAGGTTTTACTGTATCACACGGTGGGGGTTTAGTTGCTAAGTGTGTACAACTCCTGCGATCCCATGGACTGTAGCCCGCCAGGCTCCTCTGTCCCTGGGATTCTCCAGGCAAGAATACTGAAGTGGGTTGCCATTTCCTTCTCCAGGGGATCTTCCCGACCTAGGGATAGAACTTCGGTTTCCTACATGCAAGTAGTCTCCTGCCTTGCAGGTGGATTCTTTACTGACTTGAGTCACCAGGGAAGCCCATATATCACATGGATGGAGCTATATTCAATACCCTGTGATAATCCATAATGGAAAAGAATATAAAAAGAATGTATAGTATATATTTATTATACATACATACACTGAATCACCACTGTACAGAAGAAATTATTACAACTCTAAATCAACTACCCTTGAGTAAAATAAAGTTTTTTTTAAAAAAAAAAAAAAAAACTGGTTATACAGAAAGAGGAAAATGGATAGAGCAATAGATAGTACTTCAGGTTTTCCTTAAAATAAGGACTAAACAAATGTATACTCAGAGTTGACATTTTTGGAAAAATGTGAGAAATAAATATGTGTTTAAGGCTGCTTATCTCTAATGATTTATTAATGAAAATACCTAGACTAAAAAAATAGGAGATTTTTACTAAAATCCAGTTAAGAAAGACAAAATTGACTTCTCTGGAATTTCATGTGCTATTTTCAGTCCAAAATGAATTTTCATGGACAAGTTATAAACCCTTGAAAATGCATTTTAAAAAAAATTTAAGTGCTGATATGCCACTATAATTTTACCTGCAATTTCTTACACCGAGGGACTATTGCCTTTTATCATAGGTTTATTAAGTTTTACAGCACATGAGTGTGCTATGTGAAGCAAGAGAATTACATTTTCATTTCCTTCTAAGAGAAATGAGAAAAAAAATGCTCTAGTACTTACTTTTCTCCATAAAACCTTTCAAAGAATTTTTCTTTCCAGGGTTCTGTTTTCTTTTCCTTCTCAATTTCTTGCCTTATCCGCAATTGCATTTCTGGAGTAAACTCTCCTAGAAAGAAAATGCTTAGATATTGAGGAAAAGCTGTCATATCTTTTGCCAATTAATAAAGAAAATATGTAACTAATATGAGTAAATGTTTATGAATACTGAAAAGTAAAAGGTTGAATGCTAATGATAGTTCTATGGCTTCTCTTTTTTATGAACATCACTCAGTCATTTAGTCACAAACAGACTCGAAAGCATTTAGTAAATGTACTGTGTACTAGAGGAGGTAAATGTAATTGTGTATATTCAGTGTCCTTGATGAAACCAGTCTTGTGAAAGCAAAAGCACACAGTTGAGTATAATCATACAAGGTGGAAAGCCCTATATAGGCCATAAGTAAGAATATTCATAAATGTAGGGAAAGTACTTAATTCTGCCTAAATTGATTAAGAAAGACCATCTACTGAATCTAATTCTTGAGTTAGCCTTTGAAAGATGACCAAGCTTTCATAAGGTCATTAGCTCACAAGGCACAGAGATATGAATATATATATTTATGTTCTTTTAAGAGGCCAATAGTGAGTAAAATACAGGATGAAATGGAATAGGAAAGATAGGCTGTGTATTTAAAACCAATACACGTTTTAAAGAGAGCCCTGGATTTTTTTCCATAAGAGACTGAGGGAGGTCCTGGAGGTGTTCAGGGAGGGAGGAAAATGTCCAAATAAGCAACTTAGAAATCTGCAGGGAGGCTACTAAGTAGCACAGATGAGGGATGGAGATTACAGTCAGGCCAACATCTTGAGAACGTTGAAGAAGATGCAGATTCAAAAACTCAAGTTCCTAACCAGATGGGCTTGGGGAGAAGGGAGAGGAACAAAGATATCATTACGGTTTCAGAGTTAGGAATGTGTGAAAAGGGAGGACCTTAGCAGACAGAAGGCAGAAGAAATGGTAGACATTTAAAGGGAAGAGAATTTAATGCTGGCATTTTGGTTTTAAGGGGCTTGATGCTAGGAAGACCCTGCAGACTTGTGGAACGCAGCACTGAGGACTGGGAAAGAGTAGCTGAAGACAATGTTGGACATTTTTGGCATCTGGGGCATAGCTGGAATCCTGGTGCTGAATAAGGCTGCTCAGAGTACATGAAGAGTTATAAAAGCGAAGAACAGGGAAGAGAATGGTGGAGGCATCACCATTACTGGCAGGTGGAAGAACAGGAACTCCTGAAGGAAGCTGAGAAATGGCTGTCAGAAAGGTGCCTGGGACGCAACTTAAGATATATTAGGAATGTCTAACGGAGATGGCTTCAACCGGTCTGGCGAAAGAAAAAGCACACAGTTGACTATTATAATGTAGAAAACCCTGTAAAAAGTCACAAGAATAAATGTAGTGAAAGTACAGAAAGGAAAAGCACTTAATTCTGCCTAAATCAATTAGGGAAGACCATGCATAGAGCCTGATTCTTGAGTTAGCTTTTGAAAAGTGACCAAGCTTTCATAAAGTAATTAGTTCACAAAGCCCAGAGATACGAATAGTATTGGATGGGGTAGAAAACAAGTGAGATATTGGAGAAGAAACATGAAAGGTAGGACAGAGGAAAGGAAACTGGACTTTAAAATCAGAAAGCAATTCGTATTCTCTAGAAAGAACTGTTTCCACTGTGTATGGGCCACACTCAGCCATAACAATGTGCATGGGGAAGGGAGTAAAATTGTAGTAACACTGGATATTTTCTAGTTTTTCAAGAAGACTGATGACTAAAGGAAGGATAAGGCAAAGTGTGGCTTCAGGGGAAGACAATATTAAAAGAAGATTCTTCAGAGTCTTAGGCATTAAGAAAATATATATCAAACATATAATTAAAATGATTATTCCAAAGAATATCTTGCTATATCAAAATGTTATTATGTTCCAGATAAGGCCATGCTTTCTTCAAAAATCCTGGACATCAAAATTGTCAAGTATAATAACAGAATTAATGAAGTCATTTGAAATAGGATGTGAGTTTTAATTCAAGTATACTTCAGTGGGGGAAATGACTTGGGAATCAGAGAAGAGTGCAAATCTCAGAACAGTATGTGTACTCAAATCTGTCAAATAATAATGGAAAATAGAAATTTACCTTCTGCCAGTCGCTGTTTCCAGCCTTGTGCTGCATATGCAAAGAATTCATTATTTAGAGCTGAAGTACTGAGGCGTAAAATTCCATCACTTCCCATCTAGGAAATAAGCCGACAAAAACAAGATTCCATCAAGAATAATTCAAAGCAAAACTATGCAGGAAAGAAGCAAAAACTGAGGGTATGTGTGAGAGAGAGAGAGAGAAAATGAGAAAGAGAAACAGCAGGGCAGGAGGCAGGGAGGAAAGGAAGGAATTTAACAAAAGATGAATCTCCTAGTAGGAAAACTGCACTGTTTACAGTGACTATTATAATGACTAAATACAACAATTGAAAGGAAATCTGTATTAGGCATTTCCATTATCAGTGGCGAGTATAACAAATACATGTGGTTTAATCAAAGAAGTTTTATAACTTTATCATTTTAATGTGCTTTAAGTGGAACCAAATTAAAAATCAAGATATGTGCACACCTTTAGATCGAATTTTTTTAAATTAAATTTTCTAAATTTTTTGTGAAAGCTAAGGAAATCTAGTCTGATCACTTGGATTCTTCCACTGTCTGAGGTTTAGACGACAGAAAGTTCTGGAGCATATTAAAATATACCCGCACTCTCATACAGACCTCTCCCTCTATTCCTCTCACCTCTCTGGATGCACATAGAAAACAGGTATACAAAGTTTAAAATCAGTATATGGTATATGCCACAAATGTTTTCCCTCAAATATTTTTAAAATTCATGTATACAAGAGATTCAGAGAAGCATCATCAAACTGGATGCTTTTTTTAACTTTCCAACTATTTACAACATCTCTTCTGGGTATATATTCTGCCTGCTGAGATGGGATAAAAAGAACTAGCATGTCCTTGACTGACTTTGTAAGTAGCTGTGGAGTGAAGAAAGAACATATAAAAAGTTAAACAATGCCAAAAATTAGGTGAGTAGGAATTAAGAAGGGCAAAAAAAAAAAGTTAGGGAAGATATCTAGGTGGACCTGAGTATTTGAGAAGAACATGATGCCAGAGGTGAAATGGGTTAGGGTCTTGGGAGACCAACAGGATTGGGACAGGACGATTTTATATACAGCATACAGTACAGAGTGTAGACTGTGTTGTGGACGCAGGATGTCACAATCAGTAACTGGATGGTTCATGAAGAGGTGAAGATGTTTTAGCCTGCTACTCAAAGGCTTGGCAAACTGTAGCTCCAATTATATTTTCAAAGATTTCTTTTTATTCTCACAAACACACTCATAGCCTAAGCTCTAAGAAGTCTCTGCCATCTGAAAACACACTCAGATTTCTTATCCCCATGTATTTGTTTTTTTTGGTCTTCTTTACACTCCATTTTCACTCACAGAAATGCTGTCCCTCTTTTAAAATTTAACTCAAATCATGACTTCATGAATGTGTCAGCTAAACCATCATTCAGGAGCAAAGGAGAAAACTGAGTCTAAAACTAAACCTTATGCTAGCCACTCTAAATGGAATCTCTTGTTCAGTCGCTCAGTCGTGTAGGACTCTGTGCGACCCTATGGACTGCAGCATCAGGCTCCTCTGTCCTTCACTATCTTGGAGTTTGCGCAAACTCATGTCCATGGAGTCAGTGATGCCATCCAAATATCTCATCCTCTGGTACCCCCTTTTCCTCCTGACCTAAATGGACTGATGGTCAAAAAATCCAGAGAAGAGAGGCATGAACAGATGGGACATAAGCTGAATGCTGCCATCGCAACAGCCACAGATTAGAGATCTTGAATTTCCTAAGATACCGATAGCCACACTAAAATACTTAGTCCACTTGGAAAATTTCACACTAGACTGTTCATTCATGGATTCACCATTTCCTCCCAATGATTTCATCTTCATCCAATAGATACTTATTGCACATGTGTATGCTCAGTTGCTTCAGTCGTGTCTGACTCTTGCAAGCCCATGGACTATAGCCCCCTGGCTCCTTTGTTCATGGAATTCTCCAGGCAAGGATACTGGAGTGGGTTGCCATTTCCTCCTCTAGGGGATCTTCCCGACCCAGGGATCAAACCAGCATCTTCTGTGTCTCTTGCATTGGCAGGTGGGTTCTTTACCACTAGTGCCACCTGGGAAGCCCAGACACTTATTAAGTCACTTATATGAACCCGTTTACCTGGCACTTGTCTGGATGCAGGCAATACAGTGGCAGTAAAAGGAAAAGCCTCTAACCTCATGTTCGAATATACGCCACATACAGCAGATGATTATGGTCCCTGTATCTCTCTCCCACCCACCTGGGCTCAGCACAGCTGTGATGTCTGGTGACTCTGCCATGCCAGTCCCCACCTCAGGGTCTCGCCACAGCCCCAGAATGAGAGTAGATAAATGTCCATGCCTTTCTGCCTTCTGACTGGACAATTCTAGGACATCACCTTTTGGGATGCTGTTATGAACTGAACCAAAGGATGTCATTTGGTGCTGTGTCCCCAACACTTAGACCAAGTGGGTAGAAGGCAAGTGCTTTGAAGAGAAAAATGAAGTAGTTTACTATGAGGTGCATTTATGGAAGGCATGATAAACAAAGTTGGATTTTCTACATTTGAGCATACGCATGTGCTGAACAACCTGGAGTCCATGCACTATGCCTGTTATATTGCAGGTACTCAATAAATGTTTATTGCACCCTCCTTGCTTTGTGTGAGTGAAAGATTTAAAACTGAACTTCAGTAGCTGACATGCAGGATTTTAGTTTGGTATATTTTTCCAGGCCAGGGGACATGATGAGTTATTAATTGACATTTCAGCATCATTTTAAGACACAAAGAAATACCAGATCCAGATTAGCTCTGACAGAGTCTCAAGATTTCAGCACATGAAAATGCACGACAGTGTGAAATGACCACATTCAAGAATATGGAAGCTAGCCCTGGAGGAAACTGTTTCTCTTTTAAAACAGAAAAATAATATTAATGGCCAGGCTTCCAGCCTGTATGAGACAGCACAATTAAACACGAGGGCTGAATTCGACTTAGGAAATATGTGCCAATAAAACTTTTGAAATACACAATTAATTTTATGGCCTTTAAGAAATACTGTCCAAAAGACATGGCATTTTAATGAGCTGGAACAATAAACATTTCTGAAAGGTTTACTTATTTATCACCGAACTATAAATTCTTGCTTTTTCTGATTATCCACAATAGAAACATTCATTCTATGTAACTTTCTTACAATGAAGAATCTAAAGAAGTTATTGATAAGTTATGTTTTGTTTTTAATTAGAAGGAGAAAAACTGTGTGTGTGCTCACTGCTATGGAAGAAACTAAGCGTGAGGAAGGAAATCTTATTTGTGGAGAAATCCTTTCACGAAGATTTAAGTCTTGATTGGTGAGTATATCATTTGCCTTTGGGGTTGATTACATTAACATACATTTTATGGGATGTCTGTCAGTGGAATGCAAAGGATTAAAAAGTTGTTGCTACTTAGAAGCTATCCAATGTTTGATGTTCAATTAATATTGTTCTATATGAGAGTATATCTTAGGTTAATAATAATCCTTTGCACATCTGATAGATTATTTATCCCTTTTTCTAATTTGGAATTTCCTGCAAGTGATTTGGATTTCCCAGATGGCGCTGGTGGTAAAGAACCTGCCTGCCAATGCAGGAGACATGAGAGACTCAGGTTTGATCCCTGGGTCGGGAAGATCCCCTGGAGGAGGGCACGGCAACCCACTCCAGTATTCTTGCCTAGAGAATCCCCCTGGACGGAGGAGCCTGGTGGGCTACAGTCCACAGGGTGGCAAAGAGTTGGACACGACTGAAGCGACTTAGCACGCAAGTGACTTGGAATGGATGGCACGTGGGCTGCTTAGATGAACAGTGAGAAACGTGCTGGAGAGTCAGAAAGTGGCTAAATCCTAGTGGGACATCTAGACAGACCAAGCAGTTTGGAATTTGTTCTACTGGTAGTGGGGAGGGAGTCACTTGAAATGAAGTCAAAACAAGATGAAAACGTTCATGCTGAGTGTGTGCGGGGAAGCAGACTGTCAGTCTGCCGATGTAGATGGTGCGTCCAGGATGGGCCTCTCTGCTCATTGCTGATCAAGGACACCAGAGCCGACACTTGAAGGAGTGAAGGGGAAGCCACCAGCCAGCGGGGGAGGGTGTGCTCAGTGATGGATATACTTGCAGAGGCCCTCAGAGCTGGAGAGACCTTAATGGTGGGAGGAACAGGGGCTCAAAGACCAGAACCATACTGGGCCTAGCAGCCCACTGAAGACTGGCTTGTCCCTCCTGAGTGCACTGGAGAGCCTCTGGGGGGTTCGGGCCCAACAATGAAAAGCTCTGACATTTCAAATGGAGAGCTCTGGCTGCTGTGTTTAAAAAAGACTTCAGAGCTGCCCAAGAGCAATATAAATACTGGGTCACATCTGTGATTTTAATTTTTCTAATAATCACACTGAAAGAAGTAAAAAGAAACATGAAACTCGTTCTAATAACACAGTTTTAATCCAACCTATCCAAGATGTTGTTTCAATATATAATCAATATGAGATATTGTTAATGAACTATTTCTCATCCTCTCTGTATACTAACTCTTTGATGTCCACTATGTATTTTTAGAACATATCTCAGTTTAGATAACCCATATTTCTAAAGCTCCACAGTCACTGCTGGCTAGCAGCTACTGTTGTGGAGAGCACAGTTTTAGAAGACAAGAGACTCACCAGGGACCTGAGGATGTAGTTATTGAGATAATCTAGATGGTAGCTGCACTAGGCTGACAGCTACAGAGGTGGTGAGAAAGGTTGGGTTCCAATTATATTTGGAAGGTTGAGCCAATAGCACTTGATGATGGACTGGATGTGTGGTATGAGAGAAAGTGAGCAGGCAAGGATGATGCCAAAGACTTCTGGCCTTGGCAGTTAAAATTATGAATTGGTATTTATTACAATGGAAAAAATGGGAGGAGGAGGTTTAGTTTGGAACCAATTAAGGTTGAGATGCTGATTATAATTCCAATTGAGGTCTTTTACCTATCATTCTGCATATAGTGTAAAGAATACCCTGGACAAAGGCAGGACTAAAAACAGGGACTTCTGTCAAGAAGTAACAAGGGAA